GGCGTACAGGCCCTGGGAAATGTTACCGCCTCTACACTGAGAGTGCATACCGCAATGAGATGTCCCCTACTTCAATTCCAGAAATCCAGAGGATAAATCTTGGGACTACTACACTTACAATGAAAGCTATGGGGATAAATGATCTCTTATCTTTTGATTATATGGATCCTCCTTCACCCCAAGCACTCATTTCTGCCATGGAACAATTGTACAGTTTAGGAGCACTGGATGTGGAGGGGCTGCTCACCAAATTGGGTAGGAAAATGGCTGAGTTTCCTCTGGATCCACCCGTGTCTAAGATGCTATTGGCCAGTGTGGACCTTGGATGCAGTGATGAGATCTTGACCATCATTGCAATGATTCAGACTGGTAATATTTTTTATAGGCCTAGGGAAAAACAAGCCCAGGCAGATCAGAAGAGAGCCAAGTTTTTCCAGCCAGAGGGAGATCATCTGACTTTACTTGCAGTCTATGAGGCATGGAAAGCTAAGAATTTTTCAGGGCCATGGTGTTTTGAGAACTTTGTTCAGTCTCGATCCTTGAGGAGGGCACAGGATGTCAGAAAACAGCTTCTCAGCATCATGGACAAGTATGTTCTTCTAATTTATCTTGATGTGTATTTGCGGATGCTTGGATCTTTTTTTCTGGTTTCACATGTTCATGAATGGTTTTAAAAGATGTAGATTAATGTTCTAGGTTTGCTCATGTTTGGTACATTGTATGTTTGCAGTAGTCGTGAATTAGGCATGCCTTTTGCTGTCTGTACTTGATGGAAATGCTGAAATGTTGTTCAGGCCTAGTTTGTGTTTTAAAATCTAGATATAGGGTACCTGAGCAGCGAATAGGTCATTACGAGTTGTCATGTTGATGTTACCTCATACACTGTTTTCAGAGCATTATTAGCAGAAGTGCTTTTTTCCACCATTTTTTCAGTGGTTAAGTATAGTATCCTTTTTGTATAGCTAAATTGCCAGTATATGCTCTTCAAATGTGCTCTCTTGTGCGGACATGTTAGTCATTTTGATACTGGAATTGTTTTTCTTGGTAAAGTGTTTGTACAAAATATTGCAAAACTGTTTTAAAAGTTGATATGGAAATTCAGATGGCATATTACACATCCTACCTTCGCCATTAACAGATTTCATTGATTGACATAGCATTGTCATGTAAGCTCTAGGCTAGATTATTATAAAGATTGTCATGCCAATGTCTCTACTAGCACCCCTTGCTTTAGTTTATAACAGTGATCAACGATTTCTAAGTTGAGTATTCTGATTTGAAGATGAAATTGCATTCTGAGTATAGATTGTGAATTTCAGGTATAAACTAGATGTTGTCAGTGCTGGAAAGAATTTTACAAAGATCAGGAAGGCAATTACAGCAGGGTTTTTCTTCCACGGTACTAGAAAGGACCCGCAGGAGGGTTATAGAACCCTAGTGGAGAATCAACCAGTTTATATACACCCAAGCAGCGCCCTCTTCCAGAGACAACCAGATTGGGTGATCTACCATGAGCTGGTTATGACCACAAAGGAGTACATGCACGAGGTGACGGTTGTCGACCCCAAATGGCTCGTGGAACTGGCACCCAGGTTCTTCAAAGTGGCAGATCCCACCAAGATGAGCAAGCGCAAGCGTCAAGAACGTATTGAACCGCTATATGATAGATACCATGAACCTAAACCCTAAACTCTTGGCGTCTCAGTAAGCGACGTGCTTGATGTGTGTCATCTGCTGCTTTTGGTTTTTCTGTATGGATTCAATGTGAATATCTTGTAATTATTTGAGCTAATTTTTGACATTAAGTGCACAAAATTTGTGTGGCTTCATTACTTTTTAACATCCTCGTGAAATTCCTTCAACATCGCAATAAGGGCGTCATCAGTTGCTTATTTTCCTTACTGCAAGCAAGCTGGGGGGTAGAATCTGTTGTGTAATTTAAAAGCTATTTTATTTCTTGATTTCTACTTTAGGAGATATTAGCTGTTCTGTTCTCTGGACAATGAATTGTTAGGAAATGAAAGAATCATAGCGTATTCTTGAATGTATCAAGGCATTCAATATTTGATGTATTTTAGCATTCAAATATGTATGACCTCTGATCCTAGCTTGTTAGCGTGGCCTGAGTTTCCTGCCAGGTCTTGCCTGGAGAAAGCCTGGGAGTTGCCTAGGCTGGCGGAGGTAAACTGAGACTGAAGATCCTGGCTCGAGCTCAGGTTACCAACCAAGCAATCTGAAGATCCTAGCAATGAATGGTCTTTTAATCAAATTTCCTCACTCAGTTTCTGTTGCTGGTAGCACAAAAAAAAAGTCATAAAAAAAACATCTAACAGACTTCCCCGCTAGAAAACAGAATCCAGAGTGTAATGGTCGTTTAAGACTCGAAGTCAGAGAAGGAAATATGAAAAGATTTTCAGTGAGTCTCAATTTCCCATGAATCAACCGTTGAACATTCAAAGCAAACAGAAAGACCCCTCATTATAAGCAAGATCACTTAGTAAAAGCTTAGAGTAGCTTAAGCCACCTGAAGATTCCGCCACATCTCAGTGGATCTAAATCACTAATACCGACTATTGTACCCATATACTTGCAGAGAACATGCAAAAATGTTGACCTCTGGCCACACATTAAAGCAATGAACATAACATTATCACATTGATAATGAAGATGTTGAATTATGAAAGGAAAGAATGACCAAAACAGAGCCACACATTTACAAGGAGAAGCTGACCCCCAATTTACAAGGAGAAGCTGTACGTTGCAAATAGATGACCAAAACAGAGCCACACATTGTAATCTGAAATCAAGTCCGCTTTGGCTTTGGCTTAGTTAATTATAATAACACTATAGCTGGAACTAATACATTAATCGGAGTGAGCTTGGATTAAAATGGATCTGTTTATTTCTCTCAACAAACAAACAAA